TTTTTTTTTTTTTTTTTTTTGGTCCTTTAGGGTTTGTGCCTCTAGAAAACCTTCTTTATTGCATCTTGGCTTTATTTCAGGGGAAATGAGAGTAAATGTGTTCAAACTACCACCTTTACCCTAACCCTTCATAGGGTCTTTTGATGGCCAAATGATATATAAAATACCTGGCACTTTTACATAATGAAAAAGTTACCCTAAGCAAAATAAGCCAATCAGAGAAAGACAAGTATCTCATGGTCTCACTCATATGTGAAATCTAATGGACAAAGTAAGCTGATGAACAAAATAGATCCAGAGACATAAAAGCATTGAACAGACTGATGAATCTCAGAGGGAAAGAGGGAGGAGGGGGCTGGAAGAGATTAAGCAAAGAACTTATATGTATATATGCATAACTCTTGGACACAGACAATAGTGCAGTGAAGACCTTGGGTCCTCAGCGATTGAGGGGGTAGTCAATGGGTGGAAAAGGGGGACATCTGTAATACTTTCAACAATAAAGGTAAATTTTTTAAAAAGTTAGTCTTCATCCTCACTTTTACTCTTAAAAGTTTGCAGAGACTCTAATTTTTAAAGAGCACAGCTTTAACCCACAAGTCATCTTTCTCAATGTGAGTTCCCTGGACCATGAAATCAAGGTGTCTACTTCAGCCCAGGACTTGGTTTTGGCAGAGACTGTCTGTCCCAGGGAAAACCAGACCTAATTCTCCTCAACATAAATATATAATAGCAGACGCCAAGGAAAGGGCAGAAATCAAAGCCTCTAAAGATGAAAATAGCTTATAATATAATAAATTGTTAGGAGTATTCTGATTGTTATTGTTTTTAAAAGCCCTTTTTATCATGGGCAATAAAAAGTCATAGAAAAAATAGCTTTCAGAAATAATCAATAGCCAAATACACATTGAAAACAACCAAGCAAAAATCCATTGTCTTTCATTTATTGCCTTGAATGTCTAAATAGTTGGTCGATCAAACCTAAGCGATTACGCTAAAGCACTGATTGCTTACTTACCACACAGTAGGGATGAGCTCTGGGTAGCAGAGCAGCACAAGCCAAAAAGGGGGCAAGGAAAAAAACGCCAAAAGCTGTTTACTTATTACCTGTTCTGAAGAACCAGCCAACTATACAGGCCCTCTCAGGATATGCAATGGCACTATGGACTGTCACTTATCACAAAAGAGAAAATGGCCTTACTCTCTCATTAGGTAAGATTAAACTTACAACACTGGGTGAAACCAACATTCATTGTGTCTTTTCTTGGAATGACTAGCCATATGCAGAAAAAGGTGTTGCTTCCAGTCAGTCCTTCACCTCAAAGGTGCTAAACTTGTTCAAAGAGCAGCCATTTCATGGTGTGGTTACAGCTTGAGCACGTTGCACAAGCAACATTCCAGCAGGCAGTACCACCCAACTGAGCTGCACTGTGACAGAGGCTCCTCACCATCTCCCTAGATCTTCCGACGCTGCAAACTGTCACAAATGCATCTGCATACTCTGGATGGAAAAGTAAAAAATGAAGAGGTGTTGCAGCACTCCAATTTATCTGAGCAAAGATAGGAAATGGAACAGAACGGCTAAGAACATCTGCAAGGATACTGACTTCCGAGGCTATTGATAGCCTTCTGAAAAATAAAGCAGCAACACTGTGGACTCCTGGAACTGACATCACAGGGCTGGGAATGTCTAATACAAATAGGTAACGATGGTCTGGTAAGATGGCAAATTACCTGGGTAAAAAATTCAGGTGTTCTGAGGACAAGGGAGGTAAGAACCATTGGTGCTTTTTAGAAAAATTTTCATTTTGTCTATAACCAATGCTGTGCTTTCTCTTAAGGAAAGCATTATCGGCTACCCCGCACACCGCACATGAAGAAAAGAGTAAAACTGTACAGAAGTGCAATCTCAGCACTCGGGACCTATATACTTCTATGTGCCTAGTACTAGATTAAGCACTTTGCACACAAGGTGTCATCGAATCACTGAAACCCTCTTATGAGATAGGTGCTAGTATCTTCATAATGCAGATAGAGAAACTGAGGTTCAGAGAATTGAAATAGTCAAAGGGTACATTGCTGGTGGCAGGATTGGAATTCAAAGCCCATGCTCCTCTTATGACACCATAGGCTGTCACAGCTGAGAGTACATGACCCATAAGAGATGTGGACAGGAGACTGAGCTGAAAGAGGAGCACTGGACTTAGTTTATGTCTCTTTAACCCCCTGTGATTTGATTAGCCATTGTTTGGTATTCTGTTCAATGCTTCTGGTGACCCTCCAGGAAGACTGCCTGGTGCCAACCATACATATCCTTACAGGTCATAGAGAAGAGGTTCCATCTCTCCTGGAAAGAACCTCATTGAGCTCTATATCCCTGTCTTTATGAAAGGGACCCTGTCCTTGTATCTTGGTCAGACTGCTGCAGCAATTACTCCTGCTCTCTTCATACCTCTCACCTGCTACTCTGGGACTTTCCTGGAACCAAAGAGGCACAGAGCAGCATAGGACCTCTCAGGGCCCATGCATGCTCACTGGTTTGCCTGGCTGGGGCTTTAAAGCTGCAGGCTGTGGGTTGCAGGCTGCAAGCTGCAGGCAGGTGTTCTGCTGGCTCGTCCTGTGCACTGTGGCTCATGCTGCAGATGCCAACTCTGACATCTTAGCTTTTATTCCCAGCAGCTGCCAGGAGGGACTAGCAATGTAAGCCAGCAGGATGGGGCAGTTGATGGCTTGTGGATGAACTCTGACCTATGGCAGACAGTTAAATTCTTCTCTCTTTCTCCTGTCATTGTATTTCCATATGTTCTTTCTGGGGGTGTTCCTAGTGACCAAGCAACTGGATGTATTTTCTGTTGACTCTGTGACCAGCTCAGTAACTTAACCACTTTGTGTTTGCTTTGCTACTTCCCTGGTTCCCTCACTCTTACTTCCCTGGAGCAGTACAACTCTCCTCCCCCCAGGGAGTGTTAGCATGTCAGTTTTGCCCTAGGCAGTTTTCTGGAAAACCTAGGAAAAGATAAGTATAATGATAGTTTTCTTTTAACCTCTGCTAAGTATGATAATCAGTGGTCAGGAGTGTGGATGGAAGAACTGTTTTTTGTTCATTAAGAGAAAGGGGAGAAGTGCTCAGCCTTGGTAGTCAGCCTGGGCTGCATAAGTCAAAAGAGACACTCTTTCTTCTTTTTTAAGAAGTTGTAGCTTTAAACAAATTCTCACAAGTCAAGAAGGGAGGACGACTCAGCTGCAGAGATCCATTTTCCTGCCATTGTAGTCCATGGACAACAGGTAAATGGTGTCATTGGCCAAAAAGAGGAGGGAGGAGAGAGAGAGAGAATAAATAGAGGCTTACCAAATGAGACTCCAATTTTACAGCTTTCTGGACTTCTCACATTGAGGTGCTCACGATGCTATCAAGATAAAATATATCCATGTGGTGGGAAAAGAAAGGTCCCTGTCTTACATTAGGATTTCTGCTTCACACATGACAAACACCAAAAGATCACCCATTTTTAGGAATTCAGAATGGAATGCTCACCACCAACTGAGATCTCTGCCCCACATATTCGGATCTCCTCACTACTGCTACAGGTCAATTTGCAGACAAACAGTGTTGTACCCAGAGGCAGACCTGAGACCTGAGTACTGAGGGAGTGATCATCCTGTAGCTTGATTCTTCTGTCAGACTTGTAGAGGATTAACCTATTAAAGCTGGAATACTGAGAGCAGCCTTGCTTGGGCTTCAAAGAGCATGAGATATTGACAGCTGATCCAAGTGAGATGACATGGGAAGGTTTCACGGTCACATCTCCTCTTTTGCACACATCTGCAGTGCGACACAAACACAACACTCACTTGGCATATAAGAAACCCATTTCAAAATGGAGGGTTGGTATAATTCCCAAAAAGCAGGGTAAAATGAACCCCATCAAATCATGGAAATAGAAATAACCTCTGCTGCCCTGGCTGTATTGGTGATGCACAATGAGAACAGAAGGCAACCCTATTAAAGTCTAACTGAATTAAAAGATGCATTCCTCTCAAAACAGTAATACTATAATCAGAACTATAAATAGGAAAGTGGTGAGAAAACAGGGTTGTAAGAACATTCAAGAACACAGTTCCAGGAAAAACCAGTCTCTCTGTATGTAAATTATTCACCAGACTACTAAAAAGTACTTCCCAGAATAAATCACATTTGTTTCCATCCCCATTTATGATTTATAATGCTTACTTCAATACTCATACCAAAGAGGAAAAAAGACACAATTTCAAAAGGCTATTGCAAACTTTAGGGGGAGATTTGGGAATGGTTCCCTCTTTATACCACTATATTAGTGGTATAAAGTATGTGTAGTCTATAACATTATTTTATAACAGAAAATATTCAGGAGGGCTGGTGTGTTTGCAGTTGGCAACAAGGATGGAAATTAAGTCTTACCATGTCATATTTTCATATTCCTCCAAGATATAAGGCCCTGGGCTCCATGAAACACTACCCAATATATCTAATATGAAATTATATGAATGTATTGTTTTTAAAACGAGTTCTCCATACTACTTACAATATGTTAGGTACCACATTAAACTCTTATTTAAAAGAGAGGTCATTCTTACTACTGAAGTTTTTGTATAAATAAATATGACAACTATTCAGAATTAACAGTTTTTGGTGGTACTTAGTAATTGCCAATGAAAGAACCTCAGAATTATAGATTCACCCTGAATTTTTAGATGTGATATAAAATCTTCACTGAAAGTTTTTTTGGGGGAGAGGAGTAATAATTGTAAGATTGCTTGCAACTATCATAAATAGGAATTGATTTTTTAAAAGTTACTTAAATCAAATAAAGTACTGAATATTCACTTAAAATAAAACGTTCTCACTTCTATTTTCAGAACTAAAACTAAGTCTCTTTCTCTTATCTTACTTATGTTTGTTTTCTGCCTGTTTGATCTTCTTTTATCCTAGTGGGCCAGATAGTAAAAAATAAGCTCCCAATAGAAAAAAAATAAAGAAAATGTCAGCCATCATGTTTTAAAAATAGCTTAATTTACCCATGAATACCCTCTGTTAAAATACATTTTAATGTAAAATATTCGTTCATGATGCTGAGCTTGGCTACCTAGCCATTTTCTTAAGAGGAAATGATGTCATTGAACTCTTATTTTAATCATTAGTATAAATTAAATAAAATGCATATTAGTTACATACATGGAACCAGAGTATCCACTTATATGACAGAAGATTGACTACAAAAGACCAACTACCAGAACATTTACCACAAATGCATATTTTATCTGTAACTGAGAATTTAAACCACAAATCCTTCCACAGATTAGATTACAGAAATATCTTACCTATTTTTGCTTTAACCAACAGCCACATGATGACAAAAATAAGTGCCAAATAGCATGCTCTAACTGTGAGTGCCATGAACTGTCACCTCTGGAATACACCTCTATATATTTCCTTGTAAAAGAAGACAGATTCATTCATGTTAAACAAACTCAGAAAAATACCAGAACCACCATCATTCAGAAGGGCTTAAAACGCCCCTTAAATTTTCTCCATATTGTAAAGATTTTGTTTGTTATTTTTAAATAATGAAGTGTCTCTTTAAAACTAGTACATTGAAAAATCTTAGCCATCTCTAATTTCCATGTCACTGAAGCTTCTTGGGGTCAGCAAAGGGTAAGAGAATAGCTTTTGGAGTCCTTTTAGAACTGGGTTTAAATACTTTGAGGTTATTCGCAAATCATTTAACTTTCTAAGCCTCAGTCCTACACAATTTTTTTCTTCCAAATATCATCATAGTCAAACATAGTAGTGTGAACTTCCAAGACTAATGAGAATTTCTGATCTAGTCACCTGCTTCTGGAAGTAACAGGAGATTAAAAAGTGGCCCATACCCCACTCCCCCATAGAATTTAGTAAAAGACTGATCTCTTTGGCAGTAGGAAAGGAATTCCAAGGGTTCCAAAGAGGGTCATTTGGGTTTTCTATAGTTCAACTTTACTTGTGTGTTTGCTTGCTTATTTCTTACAATTTTACTGAGTATTTTCATCTTGAATGGTTTGGAAAATGCAAGCTGGTAATTTCTGATTGTTTCCAAATTTATATCTAAGGAATTGCTCTACTAGTCATTAGCAAATTCTCTAAAGATGGAAAGTACTCTGATGTCAGGCCACTGGGAACCAGACAATACAAACGTTCACTTCTTATCCCCATACCTATGAATATGCCAGAGAGCATATTGGAGAGCCTCAGAAAAATCCACTTTTCACTCAGTGATAACCACCTTTCACGTGCCAGGCACAATGTTAGGTGCTGGACACAGCGGCTTTGCCCTAGTGGGCTTCCCAGAAAGTGACCCCTGCTCCATTGACTCCTCTCCTCTAGCCTACTCATCACTCAGAATAGCCCCAAATAATATCAGCAGCTTTTCAATAGTCTTGATGGTTACTATTCCTTCTCCTCCTGATGTTTAATTCTTGGAGGATCTCAGCTCACCCAATGCATTATTTTCCCCCCTATTGCTACTGTCTCCCAGGAGATCTCATCTGATCACCTGGCTCCAGTTATCATGTGTATGCTAAAGGCTCTCAGGTGCACACCTTCAGCTCAGACTTCTCCCTGAGCTCCGGTCTCACATGTCTGTCTCCTTGGAATCACTTCTTAGACGTCTAGCAGCAACTCAATATTAACATGTTCAGTTCAAATTTTTGGTATCCCTTCTCCAAATTGGTTCTTCTCCTAGCCTTTTCTACCTCAATGAAGAACATTTTTATCCCTTAAGTTGCTCAAAAAACTAGAAGTCACCCTTGACTCCACCCTCTTTCTCATCCCCTACAACCAAACAATCGCCAAGTCCTGTCAATTTTACCCCCGATATATATCACAGATCGTTCCACTTCTCTCCTTTTCTACTGTCCTCACCCTAGTCCCAACCACTATCATCTCTCTGGTAGATGACTAACGTAGCCCATAAAAGTGTCTCTCCAATTCATCTCTGCCCCTTTCTAAGTCATTTTCACATAGCTGACTACCTTTTAAAAACATAAATCAAATTATGTTGTTACCTCTACACACAACCACTATTAAAACCCTTACACGGGTCCCCAATGCTGTTAGAATAAAATCCAAAGTCCTTACCACACACGATCTCCCAGCTACTGCATGGCTTCACCTCTCCCGTCTTATCACCATCATTTGCTTTACGCTTTTGCCCCGCTCACTCTGCTCCACTCACACTGGCCTTCAGGCTCTTGGTTAAATAAGACATGCCTTTTGCTGCCCTGGGGACTCTGCACTTTCCATTTCCTCTGCTAGAATTCTCTTCCCCTGGTTCTCACTAGCTGACTGACTTACATTCTTCAGATCTCATCTTATGTGTCACTTCCTCAGAGAACCCCTCCCTGACCACCAAGCCAAAGTGGCCTTGCCCAGCTAGCTACTTTCTACTCATTGTCTTATTTATTGCTTTCATGGCACAATCTGTAACTACCTTGTTTCTTTACTTGATTACTTGTTTGTCATTACTTTTTTGAATTTAAGCCACCATGAGAGCAGAAACATTGCTTATCTTGCTCACTGCTGTATGGAAGCACTTAACATTGGGAAAGGATATTCAATAAATGGTTATTGAAAGAAAGCAATGAGGGAGGAAGATAGAGGGTGAGGAAGGGAGAGGGTGAAGGAGGGAGAGAGGGGGAAGGAAAATGAGCTATAGAGAACTACCTAAACATCCCAGTGGTAGGCAGAGTAATGGCCCACGAAAGATGTCTATGCTCTAATCCCCAGAACCCATAAAAATGTTAGGTTACAAGAAAAAGAGACTTTGGAGATGTGATTAAAATTAAGGACCCTGAGATGAGGAAATTATCCTGGGTTATCCAAATGGGCCCAATCTAATCATGTGAGTCTGTAAAAGTGGAGGAGGGAGCTTCGGTGCATGGACCAGACCTGCCTCTGCTGGCTCTGAAGATGGAGAAAGGAGGCCATGAGCCAAGAAATGTGGTGGCCTCTGAAGTCTGAGGATGGATCTCAATTTACAGATAACATAAAATGTAGTTCTTCTCAGTCTTCATTAGAAATGTTTGAGAAACACTGATCTAAATAGAAATCTGACAGAGTCCCTCTCTCTAAACTATGAAGTACAAGGTCATGGCTTACAGTGGCCTCTGGGAGCTAATTCCTGTCTTTATCACCAGCCATACCTACCACCACTCTCTGCTGACATTCAACTGTCTAATAACACTGAGCTGCACATCTCATGCCAACTCATGCTTCTGTGTCTTTGTTCATGCTATTCTCTTACCTTCCCACTGCTCTTGGACTGGCTGAGTCCTACTCACCCAGCCTACCTCAGCACAGACACCTTTTATTCAGTCAGTCAGTCATGCAACAGAGATGTATTAAGCGGTTTCTATGTGCCAGGGGCTTGGGACAGAGTGGAGAAGAAGACAGAGAGGGTTTTGGCTCTCATGGAACCGGCAAAAAAAATAAATAACAAATTCAGATAATGAGAGAAGAAAGAACATAAGGCTAAAAGGAGAGAGAGCCTGGGGAGGAGGGAAGCTGGTCAATGAAGGCGTTTCTAGGAGATGAAGTTTGAAGGTTGAAGACTTAGGAAGAATTTTCCTGACAGAGAAAATGGTGAGTGCAAAGCCAGAAGCAGAGGAACAAGCTTGCTGTGGACTAGGCACCGAAATAAGATCAGGGTGGCTGGAGAAAGTCACTGTGGGGAGATTGATATGAAATGAAACTGGAGAAGGAAGGAGCCAGATCTACCATGGGCTTGTTTGCCATGGAAGGGAGCCTGGATTTTACCCTCAAAACTATGGGAAACCACTGGTGTTTAATTAGAGGTTTTATTTATATATTTAACTGGATTTTAATTGGGGGGGGGTGTTATAAGATATGAATTACATTAAATACACATACTCAAAAACAAAAAACAAACAAAAAAGTAGTCTTGGCTCCTTAAATGAAGGCCAGAGTGGAAGCTAGCAGATCAGTTAGGAAGCAATTGCAGAGACCTAGGTAGGACCACAGTTATAGTAGTAGAGATGGAAAGAGTTGTCAGATCTTGGGAAGCCTCGCTTATGCCTTCAGGTCAGTCAGACTGAAGCTTCCTACCAGTAATACCTTAATAGCATCTTGCATTCTGCTTTCTTAGCACCTGCCATAAGTAGAGCAAATTTATTTAGATATCTACCTGTCCCCTCCATTCGCTTGCAAGTTCCTCATGGGGAGAGGCCACAATTTGTGGCACACAGCAGGCATGTGCTGAATTGAATGAAACGTCAATGGTTTTTCTGTGTTCATCTAATTTACTTCTAGTCAAAAGTAATGAAAACTCATTAAATCTTATTCTGCTACATTGTGGCTGATGTCATTAATAAGTTTTTGTTTATTGTAGTTACCTTGGTTGCTTCATTAAAATTTGGAATATACTATAAAGGAAATCAAGAATTGAACTAGAAGATAATTGAATCAGCAGATACATAGGAATTAAACAGGTTCCTGCTCCCTAACTGCAAAGGGTATCTACAGGGTGTCTTTTAATATGCATCGCTATTTATGAAGCTGCAACATTCTCTGAATAGTGAAATATTCAATACTAAAATATTTGATTGGCTATTACAAGAATTTAAAGATGTGTATATATAAAGTATGTATATATATATGAAATATAGATGAAATATATTTGCACACCTATGTATGAAATAGGCAAAGTACAGAATAAATTTGAGTTTTTATAGTACATCAATCCAAACACAAACTTGCTCATTTTTTCTGAATTCCTGGTAAAACAGCTTCTCCATTTATAAGAAACTCAGAACCCCAAAGACCTTCAAGTAAATGAGGCATCTTCCAATAAAATGAAACCTCCCATCAACTGTAAACATCCTTCATATAGCCAGCCTGGAGGGTCCATATTAAAACTACAACTCTACGTTGAATCAGAAAAAACAAAGAGTGTGCTGTGTCACTGACTCATCACTCCAGTTGTGACAGTTTCCAGACAGTGAAAACAATGCCTCAGTGAGGGGGGCGGGGACTAGCCAGAAATAGAGCCAAGGGCAGACGGCAGAGGCCACAGTGGCCTCTCAATGAGTCTCTTCCCCCACTGCTCCAGGAAGAAGCGTAAAATATGCAACTACTTCAAAAATCTTATTTTACTAAGGCCAGGAAAAACCCTTACCACAGGTGATAATTTCACTTAGGCAGGAACACTTTCTACTTCCACACTGCTTTTCTTTGTAGCACCGTGTTAGGTTCCAGGGGCAGCATGGTACGGTGGAAAAGAAAAAGCTAGTGAATCTCAGCTCCACTTTGGGCTATTAACTGAGTACCATTTCCTCACTCATGCAGTGGGTACCTAGACTAAGTTTTGGGAAGGTTAATGTGACAGTGTCATGCACCGTGAGAATACCTAGCACAACGGAGCACTCCACTTAGGCTAGCTCTCTCTTTTTTCCTCTCTCTCTCTCTTTTTTAATCCTTCTACCCAACAGTTCCAACACCCTTCACACGAGCCAAACTAGACACGCACCTGTTTTACTTTCTTATGCAGGTGCTGAGGCTCTCATGAATTTTCTCTCATATCACTGGTTAGCATTCATAGTTCTAATTTTACCATGTCCAGAAATTTTCTTCTCTTGCCCAAATTCAGGGGACTTCTGAAGTTTTGGCGCTTGATTTTTGTGTTTTATTTCAGTCACCACGTTTTCTCCTTTCCTTCTTTATGACCTCTTTATCATTTTTCTTAACAAAGATCCCCTTATTTTTTTCTCCCTTCTTAACTGCCCCCCCCCCATATGTTCTGTCAATTCTAATTGTCTTTATTTCCATTTCAGATATATCACATTGGACACAATAAACAGGCTCCCAAAATGTTGTGTATAAACAAGTTATGTTTAATATGCATTAGGGAAAGAAAGGGAGGGAGGAAAAGAAATAAGACATGTATGGCCTCTTGGAGAAATAAAGGACTTGCAGATCACTGATGTTATTTGCTACATTTCATCTTTTCCTTCTTTAGCTCCACAGGCCTACACTACTCATGACACTTGTTCACTTAAGTTTTAACAATTCAACCTTCCCTATTTTCACCTTCTGCATCCTTCTAGAGCTATAAATAAAATAAGCCATCTTCTATTGGGAAGGATGAAGAACTGGAAAAAGCGTGGCGTTTGGGGCCAGAGAACCTGGATGCCACTCCAGTTCCTCCATTTCTATCTGAACCACCAGCACAAGTGACTTCACATTTCAAAACCTCTTTTCCTTGTTTGAAAAAACAACCATCAACATTTATGGAGAAAATCAAATCTCCTTCACTAACATTTCTCCCATAGTTTATTGGAAAGGTCTCCCATTGGACAGCCTCCACCTTGAAGTCTCTGATTGTGGACAACGGCCTGAGGGTGGGGTGGTTTGGCCTTGATCTTGGGTATTACGAAATCCTGGTGTTTTGCTTCACCTTGTAACATTAGTCCCTGAGTCTTTTCATAAAGTGCTGAGACATTAACAATATCAAAGCATATTTCAATTACTCTGTTTTGAGAGCTTTCTACAAATTTCACAGTTATCTTCAGATAATTGGATGCACATGTGGTGATGTGGTGGGGACTAAGCCTGGTGATCCCCATCCTGCAATGTTACTCGAAGTTTCTTATATAAACTAAGTATTCAACTGAAGTCTCAAACAACCCCATGTCTCAGCATCTCTGCCTGACATTTTACTTAATGTTTCCCTTTCCTCTGCACATTACTGCAAAAGACATGTAAATGAAGATTCTAATCTTAATAATCTCTTATAAGCATTTACTTAGCAATTTATCACAATTCAGAGCACATAATTGAGTTGTTAATATTTGTTCTACTATATATCTCTATTGTGCAGGTGGGGGAATCTGCAAGGTGATACAAAAAAAAAGAAGAGAAAGTAAACTTAGAATTAGATTAATGAGAGCTACCTTGCATGCTTGAGTTTCCTTCTCTGTAAAACGAAAATTAAAATAGCACCTAGCTCACAGGATTATTATGGGGGTTAACTAAAAAGCTCTTAGTACAGTGCCTGGTATATATCAAGAACTCAATAAATATTATCAGCTGCTATTATTATAAGAAAAAAAGATAATATCACTTACTTTTCAAGGATATTATCAGAATTAAGACAGACAGCCTTGCTTTTTGACCTCTTTGCTCATTCATCTGGCTCACCACTGAAAGATGAATTTGATTAAAACTAGATACCATACCACCTTTATAGTAAGTGACTTTATACTACCTAGCATTTATGACAACTAGGTGTATTCATAATTATTGTCTCCCCAAACAGTTTTAACTTCTAGAGGGCAGGGACTGGGTCTTAACTTTTTTTATATTCACTACAGAGATCTGCACAATGTGCTGAACATAATAAATGTTCAATACATAGCTGTACTTTTAAAAAACATTGTCACCATTAGCAAAGAGCACCACAAGTTTCCAAGAGCAAAGGAAACTGGACAAGGCTTCTTTGGGATTTGGCTTTCTTTGGGGGTGGGAGGTGGGGATCTTTGCTTTCTTTTCAGGTTAGTCTGCACAAATTTATATAAAGAAGTTGAGAGCACCGCTGTGAGTGTAATTACAAAGACGGCAAATAATTGGCTAGAGAACAATGCAGGTGCAGTATTACAAAAATAAATACTACAAAAATGAGTGCACAATTGAGAAGTGATGTACAACATCTACTGTACTTAGAGGATTCTTCCTCCATAAAAACCTTACACATGCTTTAGAATTTTTTCACACTAGAATTCATTCTAATACAAAAAATTAGAGCTTACCAAAATTTGGGAATTTGCCATCTTAAGTAAATACCACAACATTCAAGAAACATGACAAAAAATAAAAGAATGTAGCAACCTCTTTCAGAGACTTTCTTGACTAACAAAGTGATAGTAACGAATTGAGGATTTCACATTAAAATGGGGAGGAGAGTGTCAGCTCTCAGAACAGCTTTCAGTTCTATGTGAGACAGAGAAATAGGACACTATACCATTCCTCGTTAAAGGAAAATGAGAATCTAATGTTTGTTTGCCCAAGTGGAGGTGGCTATAATGTCATTAAGCCTGAGGTGCAAAAAGGCAAGGAGCACAGGGTTTGGAGCCAGAAACCTGTAACACTATCTTTGTGAAAGTGCACAAGTGTCCACATCTGTAAAATGGGAATACTAATAACCACTCACTGGGTTTTCAAACGTTACATAGGATAACAATATGCCAGGTACATAGTAGGTGCTCAACAAAGATTTTATCTACACAGCACACACACCTAGGGAAATGTAACAATTATCCAGAATTGTGTGGTTTGTGCGTGTTTTTTTAAAAAAAGATAGACCAATTTCCCCCTATTCTTTAGACATGCCAGGATAAAGTCTTTTCGTATGCTTTTGGGCTATACATATTGTAAGACCTATATCTAGAGCTTAATATATAAGACCTTAATCTCTTGCAGTGCTTATATTTAGTGTCCTTCGATCAGGTGAGAAGGGCCTTCCGAAAGAGACATTTCACAAGTGAAAAGCTGAGGCTGGCCAGTCGGCTCACCCCTGAGCCTTCTGCTAGTAACCGGCCAGGAAGGTACTCGGTGTCTGTCTATAGAAGCCACAGGAAAGTGCTGCGGAAAAGGGGGCAAGTCACCCTCATGCGAGACTAAGTACGACCCTCAATGTCTCATACAAAGTCCACTTTCAAGCCCCCAGTCACGCAGTGGGCCCGGGCCAAGGCCGGGCCCTAAGGGGTGGCCTCTGCCCTTTTCCAGGAGCCTTCCCCTCCCTTCCTCACGCACCTCGGACTCTGTGTCCGGGGCTCCGCCTGAGCGCCCACTCCCCGCCCTGGAGCCAAACCCCACCCCAGCACCCTCAGGTGAACATCAGCGCCCAGGGCGTGAGGTCCTGGATGAGGGGAGGCCGCCGACCACG